GTGGAAGATTAAAAGTATTTTTTTATTTCCGGTTCGGCAATACATTGCTTCCACAGAGTACAGTTTGTTAAGTTGAAAGATAAATATCTTACATTTTTCCGAATGGCAACAGTCTCGCGCAACAGAGATAAAAATGTTTTATTCTGCGCAGTGTTACCACTGCTGGCTTTCAAATAGTTGAGTTTGTTAATCAAAAATTCATTAAAATATGAAATAAATAATAAAACAAGTTAAAAGCTACAATTTCTATCTAATCTTTCACAAATACGTCTAATTGATATAGTTTTACACGTCTGTAATTCTCGAGTATAATATAAACGTCATATATTACGTATGCACAAAATAGTACGGTTGGTTTTATCTAGCGAAACACCTTCAAAAATGCAGGTTTGCCTTATATGATTAGCAGTTTTACATCCAGCCCTATACGGTAAAAGAAATCTGCATATCTTTTTATTGAATTTAAAAACCATTCTTTTTATTTCATAAATAGGAAAAGTATAATAATCAAAGATCTACATTTCATTACTTCAAGACTGAGAAAAAAACCAACTTTCGATGCCCTCAGCAAACATCATCATTTTAAACTACTGACCTATATCCGCTGCAAAAGAAAATTCTGTTGTGCGCAATTACAGCAAAATTTTGCAGTCTACGCAATCTAAGTAAAACATGTCACATTATCTCTTAAACTGTCAAATGTAAATTCCTTTTCTATTCAAGAAATGTTTTCACAATTATATTCCGGAGATGCTTTACTGCACTTCCCAATCAAGACAGTGGAAATGGGAGATTTAGCACAGTGAGCTATTATGGTTGAAAACTTAATAAATATGACATATATTATTATGACAGTTTATATTATTTGACATAGCATATATTTTAGTTGTTAACGTATGGAAAGTCGTATCGTCTTAAGGGCATAATCATTTGCTCAACATAGTATCAACTTGTGTTAAATTGTTAGGAACTGATGTCCGTTACTACAATCAAAGATCATATGAGGCCTTTCGAATTAAGATTTAAACACTTAATATGGGGCACTACAGTTGACATGTGTTAAAAAATTAATGGAACTAACTGGATAACCAGGGGGTTTTATTCGTGCCGTGACTATGATAAAAGACGCTATCGAAGACTGAACGAAACTACAGCTTATTTGGCCCTTAATAGCAGGATTCTTAAATCTACACTTGTTATAACGCTCTTTATAGTCACCGTTCCATTACAACGACCGGTATTTAAAGTCGCCAACTAATGAGGGCATGTTAAATTCATTTTCATTACATCAACCACATTATAGGGCCATTTTTCTTTAGTACGTGATAGGTCGATAAAACGAACATCAGCTGAAATGAAATATTTTCAAATATCAATATTTTTGAAGAAGTTGTGGGCTACTCTGAAAATAACATGTAAAATAAACTCTAGCATGATAATTTCATATAAATAAGAGTTCTTTGTAAATCGAGGTTTTGTAAGATTTTAGTTTGCAATTATCAGTATATAAAATTTGATAAACATCTTTTATGGACGGAATCTCCTGTTTAAGACACATTATGTATTTATTTTCTATTTCTCATTTACCTAAGCTGAAAAAAATTACATTCAAATGATTGGTTGGAAAAATATTTAACTGTGAAAAATGAAGATAAATACAGGATTAGAAGATGCATACAACATTGTATAAAATTACGTCTTTCTTTTGCACAAAGCAAATTTACAAGTTTGCTCACCATGCATCGTTATTTCTGACCTCAGCTAAACTTACAGGTGGAAGGGGAGTCATTATCAAGTTAAAGCATATGTTGGATGGATAGTATCACTATAATCTTTATTCAGAGAAGTTAAGTTTTTATTCAGACAGTTTATAAGACAATGATTGCCAACTAGGGGAACTAGAGGCCTGCGAACTGCATGCAACCCGTGAGGTCTTTTCCTGCAGCCTGCGACTAAATTAGCATGACCGAATGCCCGTCTAACGATAATTCACTCCTACTGTTACATTCTGTACCAGAAAGCACTTCATAAGCATGTCTCGTGCTTACAAACCAGCCAACCACTTGTGGCGACGTAGCTTAAACTAACAGTCAAATGTAAAATTTAAATTTAAGTAAGCTAGTAGCGAAAGGCTATAGCTATGATATGAAGTCAATTTAATGCGAAGTTGACTCAAATCTAACCTGCTTAGATATTCAGATATCGGCTATTATAATGCAAGGCCGAAGACTACAAATCCTGTCTCTGAGCTAGCAGCAACCTAGTAACGTGGCCTCGAAAGGCAGAATATACTCTGAGTTAAACTGCGGAAACCTTCCTTAAAATAGTAATAGTGTAAATGTAGATCTTTCGTTAAGATTCTATGCATTGTTGCTGGACACATGTTCATTTCTTGAGCACGACGGCGACATGATTTTCCCGGACTCACAGTGACAGAATCAAGCACAACAGCAACATTTGCCTCACTCCGGCCACTTCGAGGGCGTCCCGGGCGCATATTTCACAAGTGCACATCAGCGTAGCCACCGAGGGAAGGGTTTCGAAAATGGACCAATGAGCTTCTATTGCTCTTCTGTCGCTAAATCTTCGTGCATGTGAGCGTATGTTGTTTACGTTTTAATTTGCATTTGTTTCACAGTTATAAATGTATGGCGTAATAGTAGAAAATCTCGTTGTGCTTTCGTTTTATAAGTTTAATTAATCGCTGACATTTCACTTTTGCGAATTTTATCACGCATTAATATTCATCATCAAGAAATTCATCATCACATCAAGAAAACGACTCAAGCTGAAATTAGCCTCGAATATTATGCATTTACTAACATCTATGGATTAAGAAAATTCAAGTATATAGTTTTTTTTTTTTTTTTTTTTTTTTTTTTTTTTTTTATTGAGCTGAAAAGGACTGGAAGCGTTACAATGAATCTAGTGTTTTGTTATTTTAGAGCTTGCATTCTTTTGATTTTTAAAGTGTAAAATTCAGAATACATATTGTGTACAACCTGATTATAGCCACTGTTAACATTAAAAGTTATATATGAATAAATTGAATATATTCGTTGTGACTAAGATAAATTCATTCTGTTTAATGAGTATTTCTTGTGTAGACAGTACAATTAATAACGAGCACTTATTAAATGTGAAATTTAACACTCTAAATGTATACGAATGCAAATTAGTAAAGTTCACTTTGAATGCAATTCTGCATTGGCTATTATTATAGACCAACTTTTTCATATAGACTGCAATAAAAAGTGATGACTTCTATTTACATATGTAACTGGTGTAAATACTTTTCTCATGCGCATAGTTTCTCATGCGCATAGATTGCATTTGGGTTCAGATGTTTATCACATATTCTTTCTTCATCTTATTTTACCACTTATTAAGTAATATTTCACATCGATATTTTTGCGAAGTATCCAACATGTGTTTGTATTTATTTCAACCAGGTACTGAAATCTTCATAATTTCCTATACTTGATCTAACTTCGCAATGAAAAGTTTCAGAAGCAATCGACGATGCTTTAATTATTTTGTACAGAAAATTGCGTGTCAAGATATTTTCAACCATCTTGCTTAAATCTTAAAGCGAAAGTCATGTGACATGACAGAAATATTACTGGATGCCCTTTGGTTCATTCTAGAAGCCAATCCCTCGGTGGCTGCACAGGTATGCACTTGTGAAATATGAGTCCCGGGTTTTTTATGTCTACTGTTGAACCGTTTTTTTTTTTTTTTTTTTTTTTTTTTTTTTTTTTTTTTTTTCAATTTTTTGATTAACCTACGAACAGTGGATTCATTTGGTGCCTTGTTGTGTCTCATAATCGTACGGAGTTTTCGAGCGGTTTCCGCGAAACTTTCACCATTTTTGTAGTGAGTTTTCACAATCAACATTCGCTCTTCCGTACTGTATGTTTTCATGAATATAGACCACAAACATTAACCTGGAAAACAAAAGCACAATATCACAGCACAACCTTAATGATCAGTGATAAAAAAACATGCAACAACAACAAATAAAAATAATGGGCTTTTCAAATCCAGCGTTCTTTTTGAGACACCTTTATTACCTTTTTCTACCTCTTTTACATTCTGGTCATAAAACAGAAATGAGAATTTACAGTAAAGATCCAAAACATAAAATAACTGATTAATAAAAAATAATAGTAATAACCCTACAAACTTTCCCGTAAAGTGGTGGTAATACGTTGTAACAAATGTTTATTGGCAAAGCAACTGCGTGAAGAAATAACATTACTACATATCTAATTTTTTATTTACGTCAGGATTTTCTCTTTGCTGCAGTCTCCAAGTTATTGAAACTTTGCCTTGATATACCAAATATAACTCATTTTATTCTTGTTGTTGTTGTCTTATCCATGAATTCCATGGAAGAATGGTTGCCAGAGCATCAAGAAGGTTGGACTTCTACTTCCATCCCAGTTTTGAGGGAAAGCACCCCGTGGAGTGGTCCAAAGGTCTCCCACCCTTCTCCCCTTCCAGCAAACCACAAGAGAATACTTTCGGCTAGCCATATATTTAGAGTGCCCCCATGCCGCAAAGACACTATACATTTACAAACATCCATGCCTTCTCCGGAATTCGAAACTCGGCCCTTTGGTACCGCAGTAGGCTCCCGTAACTACTATAGCGTCTGGGCGGCAAATACTATAGCGTATTTGCTTGCCTTTATAATTAGTGTCTTATCGTTTATAAAACCCTTTTGTACAATATTCAGCAAATATATAATTCTATTATATAATCAAATATATTTCACAGCATCATCAGCTTTATTATTTTGCTCTCAAAGAAAAGGTCAACCACCACAAGCCTAGATATATGTATTGTCAGAAATTTATAACTGAATCTAGTACTGAATATAATTAAATATTGATTATAAAATTATTAATTATTTATTGTTAATGGCATTTATTGCAAAGTTTTCTAAGCAAACTTATGTTAAAATAAATTCCATTTTTCTTGTTTCTCCTTCTCAGGTTTCTCTTCTTTTCTTCTGTTTGGCAATGACAGAAGTCTTTTCTCAAAATATGGAAACTTCTGAAAATGTCAGAGGCAAGGAAAATGCTAAAATCTCAAATTTAAACACTTCAAAAAATCAGTCTGCTTTAAATGACTCTGCCAGTAGTTCTGAGAGCTTGGACGCATCCCCCTCCGAAAATGTAAGATTCGCTTCAACGAGTCTTAGAAATAATCAAGCTAAAAACAAATCAAAAACTTCAGAATTTTTCCTCAAAAATAAGAGACCAACAAATACAGTAAAAGATTCCCAGGAAAACCAACAAATAAAAGCGCAATCGACAGTGCAATATGCGACTTCCACCAATAACTGGAGGCCTCCAGGATTGCGACAGAATTATCGAGAAGCTAATGTCTATCAAGGACTCCGTAGCAATGACAAATCCTCAGTGCAGCAATTTTCAGAAGAAGAAAAAGATTTACATCCACGACTTATCGAAATCTGGGGATCTTCTCCCGATTCCAAAACAAAACAAATCGTCAAAGAAAGCCAACAATCAGTCCCTGCGATTCCTACAGTTATAACAGAGTCTCGATCTTTTATCACAAATCCTCAAATTTCATCCACTCATCTGAACTATTCACCAGCTTCATATGAAATGTCAGAAAGACCAACAGATGTTTACAATGGGAATTATTCTCCAGTTAGCGGCAGTGCAGAGAGATATAGCTCACAGGGAGAACCCCATCCTCCACATCATGTTCATACAGAAACAACACACGATTATGGTCGATTTTTAGCAGAAGACTACAGGTCAAAAATCGAAAAAGAAGCCGAAGAGCTAATAAAACGGCAGAAAGGTCATAACAGTACAAATAGTGCGAAATCTGGTCCAAATAGACAACATGAAGGGTATAGTCATCCTAAACAGGGTGTAAGTTCTTACTACAATACAGGTGGTACTAATGATGATAGATACTCCAATAATTACAACAGAAATCCCCATCACTATGAAGTAACATCGACAGAAGTTCCATATCATACTCCACGGCCTGGTCCCCATTCACTTCCCGTTACAGCCCCATACTCAATGAGGCCACCTACTGTTTCACCCGAAAACGTGTATTCTCCATATTCTCAAGCTCCACAAGGAACTAACACTCCTTACCGAAATTTGCCTCAAAAATATTCGAATGTTCCAGAACAGCTTAGCAGTCCGCACCAAAATTTGCCCTCACAATATTTGAATGCTCCACGACAGCCTAGTAGTTCCCACGGAAATTTGCCTTCACAGTATTCTAGTGGTCCTACGCAAACCAGTGTAACCCACCAGAATACGTCTCCTCATTACTCCGATGGTCCTCGAGAAACTTATTCTTCAGAAGAAGATCTTCCAAATACTGTTAAAAAAGTTAATCCAAATTCTTTACGTAATATAAAACCATACTCTGTAAAACCTATAGGAATGGGACATAATGATTTCTTGACATCTTATAAAAAAGTCATAGCTTTATACAGATCCTTGGGATTTTTTGATGCACCGAGCATTGATAACATGCAAAGATTTATACAAACTCATGCTTTTGATGATACTATTTACGCTGTAACATCACCATCATCCATAGAAACCCAGCAGTACACATCAAAAGAGATGGAAACAGATTCATACGGCCGTGCGAATCAAAACAATCAACAATACCCCCAATCTCATAGAGAAAATCCTTTGACGGCTGAACGCACTTTAGTACCAGCACATAATGCTTACAGTGGGCATCCTGTACATCCACCTGCTCATCAATTGCAACATCAGCAACATGCGCAAGCACTAAATGCTTTAAATGGTCAAACTCAGAATAATAGCCCACATACATCTAATAATGGTCATATACTTCGACATCCACAGTCAGCGTACAATAATCCAAATGTTCAGCAAAATGTGCATTCTGAAGAGCAGTTCATTCCAAGAAATTTCGATGGGGCTAAATTAAATTCAGGTCAGCGTAATGCACATTACCAACAGCAAGATCTTCCTCAAGGAACGTTAAGACAAGCAGGAATAAGAACTCCTAATCCAGAGCTTCATTTAAATTATGATTACCCAGAACAAAAATCCCCAGTTAATAATGAAAATAGGGAAAATAATTTTAATCAGGAGCCACACAGACAGTACGTAACATCCAATTATGAAGGCAAAGTTCATAATTATTCACCAGATACAAGGAGCAACAGATTTCAAGGAAATCCGCATTTACGGGAAACTATAGGCCACGTAAAACCTGAAGTATATTCTCATTTACGAGACATGAATAACCAGCAAAACTGGAATCAAGAGAGAAACTACCATCAATCACAATATCCCTTGGCTCCCATACGACCGTTAGAACCCGTTTTCAATTCAGAAATAAGGAAACATCATTATACAAATCAAAATGCATATCCCATTACTAGTGATACAGCATCCGTTAACAATCGTGGAATGCAAGGATGGGAAGGCAGGCCAGTTTCAGAAAATCAATACCATGGCCGACCACCAAAAGATTATTTACATAGCAAAACTCTAGAAAATGACAGTCAAAGTGGAAAATCTATAGGAGCACTAGATGCATCAAATAGACACAATGATGATAGTTTAACGCAGCCAGAGCAAAGGTTAAAGAGTATGAGTAAATCGAAAGGTGGGAGATCCAAGTCAACTGGAAGACGATCTAATCGAAAATCTTCAAAGAAACAAAAACAGAACAGGAGATCTGCCGATGAGCATATGAAAGCCCAAGCAGCTACTTATCACTGGGGGCTGGAAAAACATAAGGACACAGATGGATTTTTTCAGTAAGTACAATTTCTCATTTCTTGAAATCATACATGATTTATGAAAATCATACACAATCAATTCGAATATATGAATATATGAATTCACAAGAAATCCCATTTAAAATTAAGGCATGTAAGATTGACTTTTCATATCGCCTCCCCCTTCTCCGAAATAAGACTGGTACTGACACCTCAATTTCTCGCGGTTAAATCTCTGATAGGCGCACATGAATCCTGTTTCAGCAAGTAGTTAAACACGGTTAAAAAAAGGTTAACCACTGAGATGGACAAAATGAAGTCAAAGGATTGCAGAATTTATGTATTTTTGCAAAACAGTGAAAAACATGATTAAAATATATTTATTGAAATACGTTTTCATAGATTTTAGAATTAAAAAAAAATGCAGGAGAGCCCACACAATTTTTCAAAACATTTCAGCGACTGAGTGGGCAAGCCGATGTTAGTGCATATACGAATTAAACGAAAAATACATTAATGACAGGTATTATCTCTTGTACTCTGTCCGGTCGCAAAATATCTAAGCGAACATTTATCATAATTATCAGATTTCAAGTAAATTGTAGTTATATTTTCTGAAATGTTAATTCACACTAGTTATAAGTTATTAGCTTAAAATTTTAGACCGTTTATTAATTTAAAACAAAAATTTGCTTAGTTACAGACCTCCTTTCCAATTCCATTTCAAGTTATAATGCATGTAAATTTTTAGTCGTGAATTCGTAAACTAGTACTACTTCTAAAAATTCTATTTAGATTAATAGTTGCGTAGTTAAATTATTCCAATTAACGATTTCTTCGGTAAATAATTTTATTTAATATCTTCACTAATGCTTGTGACATACTTTCTTGAATACTGTTATCAAACTGTGCAAATGTAAATTTTCTCTGAAAGTATATTTTTCTCATGAAACCCAACACAATGATATTAGTTCTTGTAACAAAAGACCGAACGATAAGCTTCCTGGAGCTCATTATAAAACAGAAGGAAAAGATACTTTTTGTAACAGAAAGGAACAAAAGAAAAGAAGCATGGAAAAAGTTTTTAATGTGAAAGGAAAGAAAACAATTAAAAGCATACAATTATTTCCGTGAGTAGCGTTTCACTTTTCGTTATACCAAATAAAACATTCGATACTAAAATTTGACTTCACTGTCCTATTAAAAAAACAAAGCTAATTGAATTTCCCTTATTTTTTTTCAGTTCAAAAGGTAGTTACTTTCTTTTTAAAGAAAAGATTTGTCGTGAAACTCTTTTTTCTCTGCATTTCTTAATTGTTAATTAAATTATATAGATCTTAATTTAGTTTTGTAAAAAATAAGCTTCTCAACTGTGGAAGAGCTTTTATTTTCTTTAAGAACACTGAACGTTACAGTTAATGGTTATTGTTCTCTCTCTAGTTCACAGCGGCTCAAAATAGAACGATACATGCATATTTTGACGAAAGCATACGCAGATTTTGACGAAACGCAAAGAACAGAAGCAGATTTTAACGGAAATATTATTTATTTATCATAAAACCATTTCATAACAATTACTATTGTTGATGCTCCGTAAATAATTGTAGGTACTTCGAAATGGAAACAGAGCTCTAGTTAGAAACAATGTCTAGGGAAAAAAATTATTACAGAAAACATTATGCTCATGGCCATCTATTTTGCTTAAAGATTAATAATATGCATGAACACTGCCGAGAAATAAGATTATAAATGTTTTACAGTTTTTAAAATGATTTTCATACAATTATTATTATTTTTAGGAACAAATAATTGCATTCCAAGAAATCTGTAATCATTGCTTTAACAGAGTACAGTGGACTTCCTTTTAGCCGATCTAAATGGGACCGAGGTTTAGCCGGTTAAGCGAAATTCCAGTTAAAAAGGAGAGTTGAAAAAAAATAATTTAACTGATGAAAATGCACTCTTTTATAGTTAAAGTAAGCATTTATTAAATGTGTCAATTTATTACAAAAGTTTTACACAACATTAGTAAGAATGTTTAAAAAATTCAGTCAGTCTTTCTTTCTGCTGAAGGCTGAAAATTCGGCTACTCGCTGCATAATTTAGCCATCTTTTAAAAAGCATCATATCAATGGAGGAAGCCGGTGCCTGTTGTTTCACATAGTATAAAGCCATTTCTAATGCTTTTGCTCCATCTGTATGTACTATGACGGAGGTCATACTGTCATCGATGTTTGAATGTTCAGTCATCGTAAACCACATCATCGATAGCTTCGACGACCCTTTTATTTTTAAATTAAGAAGAGTGCGTAATATCGTCAATGCACAAAGTTTAAACTTTATTTATATTTTATTTCGTATTTAAAATACATAAGTACAGAATTTTTAATTATTTGTAATTTTTTGACTTATTTTTATACTTAAATTAATTACGACCAGTTAAATCGGAGATACGGTTAAATGGAAACCTGTTAAGAAGGAGTAATTATTTATACAATAACATTTTTCCTAACTTCCAAGGCATAATCTTCATTCTTTTCTTTATTAAACAATCATACTGAATTAACTGGGTATCTTCGTGGAAACTTGCTAAAACTTGCAATATTTTGTTATATTTACTTTGTAGTAGGCTGTAAATCAGACAGAAAATATAATTCAAAGTTCCACTGCGACCACTTAGTACAGCTAAATTCGTGTAAACTCAAAGATTAACTCAAAGATGTTTTGCTTTTTCGTACCAAAAATAATCAAGAGTTGCATGCCTTCAGAAATTCTCATTGATTCTATGCATAAACATCACCAACCGAAAATATTAAAAAAAAAAAGGGCGCGCTGGCGTGAGAGGACTTTCAATCTGAAAATTTTAAATTAAAGTCTGACAAGAAGATTTTATAATAAAATAAATAATAATAATACCTATAGTGGTTTGTAGATAAAAATAAGATTTACTATTAAACGTAATTCAAAATCAAAAATTTTTTACAAAATTTTAATGTTACCATTAAGTATTAATCTTGATGCAGGATATACATAAGTAAAGTTAGAAATTTTGCAATCAACATATTATATGATATTATAAACCCATTTTATTTATCGTATTAATGGTATAAAATAACACATCTAGCAAAATGTTATTTAAAAGCTCAGGAAAAAAAGTTATTTTTTAATTCATTGACTTCATACTTCTATGACATAATCTTAGAGAGGCGTGCACTTTCACAGAACAGAAGACAAGTGAAAAATCTAATGTCTTGTCGATTGGCAAAAATTTCTGATTTTAATTTGCCTTGAACGAAAACAGCTAAGTGAAAACAATAATACTTAATCACACGCTTACTTGTGCAAGATTTAATTAAAACTTAACCCAAATAAACAGACACAACCCAAACATTGATTTTTCAGCAGCCAAGTAAATTTGCAAGCTGTGACGGTAATTGGCTAGATCTACATTATTAACCTTAACTTTGGGAGAGTACTGAAATGAAGGAAAAGGGAATAAAAGAAAACTAATAAAATCTAGTTAAAGCTGGTTATTCAAAAACCTTCAACTCTAAGGCATGTAATAACTGCAACAATTTAAATATAAAAATAATTATAATCTGCGACAGCAGACAAACAAGCAAACAAAAATTCTGAAATCATGTTTTATAAATGATTTATCTTCCTAGGAATGTAGATTTTAAATTATTAATTTCTTACCCCGTTGATTTGAATGATATTATTATTATTATTAGAAACAAGGGAACTTGCAATCTTATAATTTAGAATTTAGAATCTATAAGATCATACACCCCTCCTCCTTTGAACTTGCTGTGTCATTATTATCTGCCGTTTCATATTGTACATGCTGTTCGAGCGTTAGTATTTCACTAATGGCCGGAGACAAAGAATTTGATATTATCATATTTGGAGCAACAGGTTATACTGGTCGCTATGTTATTGAAGAATTAGCTAATAGTCTTCGATCAAATAACGATGTGAAATGGGCAATTGCCGGTAGAAATGTTGAAAAATTAAAAGAATCATTTGGGCGGTAGTGGGTGGCGTACCCGGCCGGAGTCAGGAGTGATCCGGTTTTAAAAAGGGACAAAAGCTGGAACGGGTTCTCTGTGAGACTGGAATACTCCTATTACTGCTGGATTTCTTTTGCGTGAGATAGAGACATCCTTTGAAGCGTGTTGGAGATATCGATTGCTGGATTTTAGGCGAAGTATTAGAGCATTAGCGAGATAGAGATTCCCGTGAAACTGTCCTGTTTCCACCCATGTGGCATACTGTGATACTGCCCTGTACGGGTACGTTTCTGTTTTAGAAGCGTTTTTGATTGTGATATCTAATTTTTATGGCATTTTTTATGATTATTTTATGGCCATTTGAGTATGTAAGAAACTTTGAGTAAAATTTATGTAAAACCATTTTATATGTGGCAAAATTTTTCTTTTGTCCTTATTGTAAGGCAAATATATTGGCATATTTAATTAATGTGTTTGTATTTCTTTTGAAGCGTTGTTTGCCTTATTCTGTACTGGCTCAAGGCATATATAATTGATTGTGATAATGTTATTTATGTAAAGTGGATAAATCTGTAATGAAAATTTGAAGCGTTTGTTGCCAAATCTGTACTGGCAAATAGCATTTAACTTTATTGAGATTTGAAATCCACGGATTGAACCACGGATTGCTGGTAGCCGTCGTTTTGGTTTTTTCTTTGAGGGAGACCTATACATGATCATTTGGTCTTTAATAAGACTAGGCGGATCGGTCTCTCCTCGTATTTCACCCCTCCTCCTTTTTTTAAACCTGATTACATACTCTTAATGCAGTTTCTAAGATGAATGTAGTCTGGATAAATCTTTATCATAAATAAACGCATCCTAAATTTCGAAAGATATTATTTTATCAGAGCCGTGCCTATATACGTTTTCACCTGAGGCAAAGTGGTAAATGCGCTCCCCTATGACTTGTACTTTTTTTTTCAGGAGGGCGGGAAGGAAAAAGAATATATTTGTATATATATTACGCGATTACATCGGAGAATA